AAATTATTTAAAATTTTCGACCCCACACCTTTGGATTCACATTTTGGTACTTTTATTTATGTAATTTCGCGTAATTTGGTAGTGTCTTCGCAAAATTTGTACTTGTTCAAAAATCTTCTGTTCATATCTGACATTTGTAGGCAAACATCGTAGAATAGAGGTAGATTGCGCTCGTAGGGGTAACGGGGCTAGGTCCTGGAGTCCCTTGAGGAGTTTCCGGTCCAGTCCGGCCATACTGACATTCCGTCGAAGCGGTTTCGCGTCGTCCTGACCGGCCGGCATTCCTGATCTGAGGGGCGGCTCCGGGGAGAAGTCAGGAGAGGAGGGGGATAGGGGCTCTGCGATGCGATGTCGGCTACCGGAGACGACAGGAAGTGAGGGGTGATCAGGGAGAAGAGAGAAAAGGGGGGGGGGGAGCTCTCATCATATGGGGCGGGGCGTGGCCGTTCTGCTATGCATACAGTATCGCTGACGCCTCGCTGGTCAATTTCATTCAGAAGCAGAGCAGGTTAATCGCCGCTGGCCCTATGTCTATTCTCAGCGCACCGAACGGAGGAGCAGCACTGGTGACATGGATAAACTGCGCACAAAGTGTAATGTGTCTAATGTTTTTGTAAGCACAAACTTTCCATTAAATTAAAAAAAATGCAAATTGACACCTTGGAATAAACGCAAGTCAACCGCTTGATGCGATATCCACGCAGTTCAACCGCTTGATCCGAGATCGCCGCAGTTCTTCGCTACAGGGATAGGAACTGCGTGGATCTCGGATTCAGCGGCTGAACTGCGTGGGTCTCGGATCCAGCGGTTGAACTGCGTGCCTTTTATTCCAAAGTGTCGAAATGCTTTGCATTGCAAAGCTGCCAAAGTCGCTACAGAGTTACAATCTGATTTGTTTGTAAGGATTGTAACATTTTTTAACAGTTGTACAAGGTGACAAACCCCTATCAATTTTGTGAGCGTGAGAACACCTCCATAGGAAGGGGAAGTAATTGTAGCTTACTTGAACCGTGCGCGCAAGAAGGAAAGTTTTTCATGCACGTCAATCTACAGTGCTTGAAAGACCATGATAGCGTTAAGTTTTTTTGCATTAGTACATCAGACTCTTTGGAATGAACTAGGGTAAACATTTTCCGAGAAGAACTACGAATTTTAGATCAATAACTCACCTTAAATTTTATGAAATCCTAAAATCCGTCTGGAAGTGCTACTGCTCCCTTAAGAACTACCGAAGATGTGCACAAACATTCATCTTTCTCGGGAGAGAGAATTGCCAACTAGATTTAGAGTGCAGGTGAATCATGTCTTGTATTTGTTGGTAATCTTTGGTAAACTTTGGTAATCCGGCGTACACATTGTTATTGAGTTAGGCACCCCTCGGGACTGACCCTAGTCCAGGTCAGCACGCCTTTCCATACAAGTGGCCCTACTCTCACTAATCAGCATTAGCGAAGAAAACGACGGTTTGCCCTGTAAAATGCTTCCAAACAAATTAGTTTGTAAGCTGCGAATAAGCCTTTTCATGCTCCTTTATACAAAAGCATTTTCTTTGTTATACGAAGCATTTTGGTTTTGTAGCCTCCAAAGCATTAGCAAATTCCTTGTAAGCTACGAAAGCATTGACCTGGTGCTTTTGTAGCTGCAAAACATTTTCTTTGTAATCAAAAAGAATTGCTTCAATTGTGTGGCAAACGTCCGAGTCTTATTGGAAAGCTTTGATGCCTAGTTAAGGGTTGCAACTTATGCGCTAAAATTTTTGCATATGAATATCATCCCGCCATTATATGGGAGTCGGGCTGACCAAACTACAATGAACCTACTGCACCGGTCCTCGCCCACTGCTGCTGCAGCTGCTCCATTGCTGTGTTTATCACACTGCCGGGCTGCCACGGAGAGGTGGGGGGCCGAGAGGAGCCAGAGAGCAGAGGTGTAAGTGATAGCCCCGCCTGCCCTCACCTGTTGGCTGCAATAGTCAGGAGCAGCTCGCCTGGCGGTTGTAACTCGCGGGCTGGCGGCCGGCTGGCGGCCCTGGCTGGCCGAGCCCGCCACCCCGCCCGCCTGCATGTACTGCCTGCCGCTGCTCTGGGGAAATCACGGCCGCGAGCTCCGCAGGCTCGCAGGCTCACAGGCTCCACGTGGTGCAGCCACTACAACTAGCTGGACTAAGAGCAGCTCGGGGCGGGGAGGGGTCTCTAGGCCGCGCACTTTACGAACCCTGATTACGTTCGCGGTGCTGCAAACTGGTCTGGCTCCCGCTCTCGTCTCCATCCCGCCTGCACCGTTTTCCACCCCGCGCCGGCCAAGCCCCGCCTTGCCTCGACCAGGCAAAGCTGGCCCTCAATTAAAAAGTAAAGAATAGCGGCAGCAAAAAAGGGCGGAGAGGCAGCAAAGAAACGCACTTTCTTTACTTTCTTTTCCCGCGGCGCTTTGTATCCCCCATACATCACTCTCGCTCTTTCAGTTTCCGGCCAGAGTCTGTGTGTTAATTTTCCGGTTGCAACACTGACCGGAACTTAAGCTGGGAGAGGGAGCACTGCCTTATTGGCGGCAGCAAGATAGCGAAGCCTATTTCTACAATGAACCGACAAGTTTCACATCTGTGCGCATGTGTGTGTGTGCGTGCACTGCACGTTTACGTGACCACGATAACACGAGAACAAATTGAGAAAAGGAACTGAAACAAAGTTAACTTTGTCTCGTAAAAAAACAAGGTATTCAACGGGATTAGAGGTATGGGCTTTAGTTCAAAAGAATTTGGTACACCGGTAAAACAAAGGTGTGAAATCACATCTTTTAAAGGCATAAAAGTTCTGTAGGTGTTAACGTTTAAGTTTTTTCGAAAAAATTTCTGCCGAATCAAACCAAGGTTTGTAGGACTAATATTTTGGCATTCAGCTCATATTTATTGCAGCTGTATTTTTAGCAGATGATACTCCCAGTATCACTGCTTCTACAACAGCTAAATGGGAACCCCGATTAAAACACTATTTCTGAACTAGCGAGAAAAAGCAGAGTAAGATGGGTAGCGTTGACGATGGTCACCAATGACCACATTTAGGTCCAGCCAGCATGGCTCAGTATTGTCAACAATACTAGCCCTTGGCCCTTTTAAAATAATATTATTATAGAGGGAGTGGGGCAAGATGGGTAGCGTTGACGGTGGTCACCAATGACCATATTGTGGTCACCAACCAGCATGACCGCCCGTACTGTCAACAATACTGGGCCATCATTTACAGCCGCATCATCTGCTTCCACGTTAGCGCGAGCTTTTTTAAATGTTTAGCTATCAACGCTTGTTCTTGAACCACGCCTACGTATCTGCCTCGGCAGCCTATCCATGCGGCTCCACGCCTGTCCCGTGGTGCTATTCTGCTGCCCGCTGCCGACACAATATTCTCACCCGCGGAGTTTCGCGCGGCGCAAAGCACCGGTGGCCAGCACTACTGTCGTAAAAATGGTGAAGCGAGTATGTCGCGAAGGGACGCAGAGTGTGAGAGATACAGAGGGAGAGAGAGAGAGAGAGAGAGAGAGAGAGAGAGAGAGAGAGAGAGAGAGAGAGAGATATCTAAGCGGGATAGGGGTAGGGGTGGGGGCGTTTCCCCTCGTCACTTTTTGAGCGACGCGCGGCAGGCAGCCGCTTCCGAAGGAGGTGATTGCCATCCCCCTCTTCCACCCTCCTTCCCCTAGCCGCGCCTTCGCCCTCCGCGTTAAATTTTCATAGGCTAGTTCGCGGCTGTTTAGGTTCCTTTATTTCCGCGCCGAGAGATACACTGGTCCCCGAGGTGTGCGGTGGCGGGCGGGTCGGGGCGTGGAGCGACGTAAAAGCCCCGGACCCTGCTGGGTTATGGCTAGCACATCCCATTCCTTTGCTCAACGTTCACCTTGTTTCAGGTCCAATCTACCAAATGTTGTATGCGCAACAATTTTGCTGTTGGGAAAAGAATATCTAAAGATACATATTCATTGGGCTGTGAAAAAGATTCTATGCAAATTTAAATGTTTTGCCACATATTTTGTAATTTACCATACGTGTTGTAAAGGGACAATTTTTGCTAGTCCATGCATTCGAAGTCAATTGCGTAGTGCTTGTAATGTTGCAATTTTGAATTGTAAATTTACTACATACATCATGGAACTATTTCGATTTTCTGTAAAAACGACGAATCAATAGGGATGAATAGAATTAAAAATTATACAACAATGTGCGGTGCCACTAAATTAGAGCCCCATAGTGATAAGTTGCGTGTCTGATGACCCGCCCGGACCCGCCATATTATTGGGGTTCATTCATAAAAGGCCTCCGTCATGCGCCGTTACGAACCTGTCTTGTTCAGCCCATAGCCTCATAGCGCCGGATGGGTAGGCAACATCTCGGCTGCAGTGCACACGTGTACTGTGGGATGGCCTACCTCGAGTCTCGCAGGCGCTGAGCTCTCGTAACTTACCGAATGAACCTGAGATAAACAGACGTACTCTCTGATCGAACCCTTACTTTTGCTTACCTCTCTTTGATCTGCACGCGGTGCGCCCGCCGCTGCACCGCCGAGCCCGTGAGCCCGCCGCCGAGGCCGCCGCCATACCCTGCCGTCTCCACCGCCCCCATCACGGTAGCCACACCGGGTGCCATCTCGTCGGGGTAGCTGTCCACCGAGTGGCTGTCGTCGTCCGGGTAGGCAAACTCGACCGTCCTGCGGGCGGGGGCAGCCGCTGGGAGGGCTCCAGTCGGCGGGGGCGGCGCGTGGGTCGCCAGGGCGGGGGGCGGCATGCGGCGCCGGGACCATGGCGACCCCAGCAGCGACTCGGGCGGGGAAGGGCTCGGCGTGGTCATGGTCTAGCCATGGCGAGGGAACCCCGCCTGCGCAGCCCGCGCACTGGGACCGAGGCGAGGGCAGCCTGCCGAACAGCGGAGAACCATGTCAGACAGATTATGGTAGTTATGCTGTACGGCTGGACGAGTGGGCAACCCGACCCACCCTTGTGCACGAAGTTCAGCGTAACTACGAAAATGAGCGGGGTTAATCAGCCACCTGGTACAAGTAGAAGCTTATCTCTGTGAACAATGTCCCCTTTCACCAGAAGTCAACAAGATAGAGGCGTAGCTTGATTACTTTGTTGAAATCAGCAGAACTCGCTAGAAAGAAAGCAGCGCCCCCCCTTAAGACAGCCAAATGCCCAAACTGTACAAATGAGTTGGGCTGTGTACGTAGTCAGAGTGTGTGAGAGTGGAGGGCAATTCACAGGCGTGGTGTGTGACGGCGCTCCAAGTCACCGCGCCACCCGCACGCGAGCAGAGTAGTGGGGCGGGGGGGAGATACAATCACTCGCCGCACTCACTGTCCTCCGTGTGATTATGTGCTGTTTTTTGATGAGGGTGGGTGGTTTTCTTTTTTATGACTACAACACTCATTCCTTCCCCCCTTCCATAGGTCACGAGTAGCCCCCCTTCCCCCTTTTTTTCCTCCCGGACCGACTCGTTATTTGTCCCTTGAACTCTATCCTTCCCCTCCCTTCCTTCAGAAAAAGCACGGAATGCACGAAATCAGACATCCCGAGACACAGCGGGACTGCCGAGTGGCGCCGAAAGACGCGTGGGCAGAGAAGGAAGGGTTGGAGGACGCGGCGGAAGGAGAATTCCACAACTATATAACAACTGCAATCGAAAAAGGGGAGGAAAAAAAATAATGTGAGGGCCGAAACTGAAAGAAGGGGGAAAGAGGGGGGTGGGGGCAGTGTCGTGTAGACTGTGTAGGGGCTTGTTAGGGACGCCTTAGGGAGGCTGTATCGATAACGAGCAGCGCCTGCCTGCTGTCCTAGCACAGGGAGCTCGCCGCCCTTGGAGCAGTCCGACTCCGACCGTCAAGCAGAGGTGCGCGTAGACACCACCTACCTCCTCCACTCCAAATCTTCTTCAAAGACTATACGTTGTTAGGGAGACCTTGACCTGCTCTCGTAGCGCCTCACGGTATCCACACAAATTAAGCTGCGACGATCCTGACAAGCTCTTATAATGGCTAAGGCCATTTTCTATATGACTAGCACCGGACTTCTGGTTGTGCATAACTGATTTCAGTTTCTAATATTGTAACCCGCAATACACATATAGTAAACTAGCTTGCCACAGTATTGTATTAGATCTCCGTTATGTCCCTTCAAGTCAGGTTCTAGTTTCAAGAATTTACTGTCCTTATTTAGAGTGGATACTTGAAACATTCAGAGTTGTTGGGTCGCTATTGGAAGTGGGCTCTTCTTGTAACTCTAAAAGTCGACCGGAGTGGCTTGGTGTACACACCGGCAGCAGGTGCATTGTAGCGCGCAAAAGCCAAACCAAAAGGGCGGGCCAAAAACTGCACCTTGCTGTGCGCTGTGAGGGGGTTCTTCTGCCGAAAGGGTCAAGGTGGCTCTGCCAGCGCAGAGGGTCGGGAATCCGTAGGGGCGAGGGGAGGGGTAGGGGATGCGAATCCGAACAGGGGGTCATAAACAGGGCCGCCCTCTTTGCATTGCCGAGCAGTGGCTGTACGCAGCCGACGCGCCCCTCCGCCCCGCCTGGGTGCGCCCTGCCGTTCCAAATGCCGGTTTAGTGCGCCCCCTGCTCCTCTGCACCTCGCCCCGCCCCGCCGCCCTGGACCTTGCACGCCCTTTATTGATACTGGAGCATCAAATATTGACTGTCGACCCCGATGTACTACAAGGGTCAGACCGACCACAGCCAGCTGTGAGGCGGGGTGGGCCGGAGCGGGGCAGGGTCTGCACATGACCCTCGAGAGGTCCAGGGAGCCGGCTGGACACGTCCTCGGACACGTCACAGGAGAATGGCTTATCAGGTTTTGTTTCTTTGGCCTACGTATTCTCTTCCGCTTTTCAAAAGATTGAATACGATGTGAGGGCCTCGTGGTTGGTGGGCTGGTAAGTGAGGCGGGGCAGGCCTCACTCAGGATTCTTGATGAGGAAGTAACGACTGCCCGAGGCGTGTGACACTTTGAAAAGTGGGTGCGTAGGTGAATTTAAAGGTCACTAATAAAGTCAAAAGGTTCTGGAAAAAAGTAATGAAAACCAGCGACCGTTTGCCAGTATTCCTGCTGCTTGAAACGGCAAGAAGCGTATGACAACTTCATTATATTAGTAATAAGAAATAGGAAATTACTGGCAATATCCCTTTTTATCGCTAAAAAGTTAATCACGCATTAAGTAAAAAATTCGTCACGATTTCTTTGCTATGAGAGCGTTGGTCTTTTATCTAAGAAAAAATTAGGAGAGTTCTAAGCGAGTCTGAGAGTGCGAGGAGAACATCAGTTTATTCGACTGTCTTGGCCAGAGTCCAGCCCGGTTTATTTTTCATGGACACCATGGGCAGCCACTCCTGCGCCTTGTTTTATCCGTCTAGTCGTTTTCCCCCTTCGGCACAATGCTGCTCGCGGTGATCAAAGCAAGTGGCTAGGGGCCTCGAATGGAGCCGCCACCTGCGCTCCAGTTGTCCAGGGTCCCTCCAGTGCTTCCCTTCCCTACCACCGCCTACCGCCTGCACGCCGAGCCCATTTCCTGCTGCTCCTGTGAGTTTACAATGAGAAAACGGGGCATCGGAAATTTGAGGAAAGCATAGGCCTCAGGACAGTGCTGGAGAAAGGTCATTCGAAAGAGCTGACCGGCCTTTCCTGAACTCACTCCCACAAATATCTCTGCGCCCTTTGCTCAACATTTTAAATTATTTCATCTTACCCCGATCCATCTTCTCCACACTGTAAAAAATTGTCAGCTGACGGCACACACGGAATAAAAGGATTCGCTGAGTCAGCTAATATATTGACTGGTATCTGGACAGACAAGCACATAAACTTCTGTAACCACTATGTTGTCCACTCTAATCAATCATTGGCTGTGCCGGTCAAAAATTAGCTGTAAGGGCTTATCCCTTACCTAAATCAATCGAGGTCTACCTTACTGATGCACGTAAATCATTACTTCAAACAACCTATCTTTGACTGGCACAGCCAATGATTGATTAGAGTAGACAATATAGTGGTTACAGAAGTTTATGTGCTTGTCTGTCCAGATACCAGTCAATATATTAGCTGACTCAGCGAACCTTTTTTTTCCGTGCACTGCGTGATGACACTTCTGTATTAAAATAATAGGAACAGTATTATATGTTGCTGTACTAAACACACGAACACAGCGCGCTTCAATTGAATTGGATTTGTTTGAGCTCGACAATCTTTGAATTAGTCGGCGTGCAATTTAAAATTCAGAGTCTATATCTCTCTCTCGCCCGCTCGCCCGAGTGTCTCCACCCACCGCTCGGGGGCGCCACTGCCCCTCCAGCCACGCGTGTACTCCGCGCGCGGGACAGGGGTATTGCTATGCCGACAGGCGGCGCTGCCCTCGCCGGGCGCCCGGGGGGTAGGCTCCAAGCCCACAGCGCTGCGCTGCCTCCTCCAGCTGCCTACCGCCCGGGCGCTCCTGCCCCGCTGCCGGGACGGGACACGCTTCAGAAGACTGATGCCTTCCGCACATGGGCCGCCAGAGTGCAGCGGTCCCGAGGCGTCGTCATGTGTCAAGATGGGGAGTGCGCGACGCTCCCGTGCAACTCAAGCGGGTTGGAGGCTTTCGCCATGAAGGATGGTTCTGCTTTATGCTGATCTCGACTGACCCTACTTTAGAGACACCTCACTCGTTGTAGGTGTGACGTTCCGTTTTGAGTGATATCTTAAATTAATCATTAAAATGTGATTTTTGGTAAACGGTGCAACGTCACCGTAAAGAGAGCGAGCAGCTTTGGGTGTGGAGTGGAACGTGTGTCGGGATTATCGAAAGGCAGATGCGTCTTTCTTCCGCGGACGTTCTCCGACGCGTCTTTCCTTTAGCGACCGCTCTCTGATCCACCTTCTTTGTTGTGCGAGTGGGTCGTGCGGTCGGTCCCCTTCGAGGGCGATACGTCATCGGTTTCAGAGGCTGGCTGGGCCGGACCAGCGTGTGCACACTGCGCCCCGCCCTTCCCGTCTCGCCTCGCCCCACCTCGCCCCGCCTCGCCTAGCCCCGCCCCCGGGCGCAGCGAGCGCCGTGCGAACTCGCACTGACGCGCCCATCGGCTTTACGACTCTCGCGGTATCACCGCTGGCTCTGCCGGGAGGGGGCCGGGGCGGCTGGGTGCGGCCGAGTTTGTGGACTTTATTATTGCGAGGCTAGCGGCGGCCCCACGGCCGGGAAACGGATTATTATTGAGAAACAGTAGCCAATGGCGGAGAAGTTTGACTACAACGCTTTACTTTGTTAGCCTGCCGGGACAAATGGAATAAACTTGACGAGAGCAAACGGCGTCGAGCTCAAGGCTGAATGGGAGAGCATCTTGGTGCTGGAGGGTGAGCGGAGCGGCGGGGGATGGAAGGGGAAATGAAAATAAGGGGGAGCTCCGGGGGCGGCTGGCGCCATGGATTCGATTTCGTCCCTCGGAATCGAGAAAAGAGCGCGCGAAACAAGGTGTTTACGTTCGACACGCGTGAAGGAAATTTCAGAGCTGTAATTATGATGTAAAGTGAAGGCCAAATGCTATCGTGGCGCAGAGGAAAGCGTCGTCTGGCGGTGGTGGTGCGTGGGGGAGGAAGAGGCGGTGACAGAGAAAAAGCTGCTGCGGCTTTAGGGATTTCCAGCCAGGGGTGGGGCAGCCCGGGGGCGCGGGCGCAAGGTCCCGAGGTGCGCGCGCGTCCCGCGCGTCCTCTCCGCGTCCCCCTGAACGCGCGCTAATGTCTTCCTGCTGCGATAAGCGAGTGTGATAGCGTAGGAGGAGCGACATGGAGGGGGTGGGGGGGGGGCTGAGTGGTAATTAGCTGCTGGAGCCGAGACATGTCGTCTACTTGTCGCCTTGGAAGGCAGCATGACAAGGCGCTGCGGGTATGAGAAAT